TATAAAATCCTCAACTGCGATGTCGTCAGCTGACCCACTGAATTTGATTCGCCAGTTGGAAATCACATTTGAAATTCTGTCAGGACGATCCAAAGAAAGATCGCTGCGATCGCTTCGCACATCCGGAGAGTTCCTAACTCGCTGACTGTTTTGACCCTGATTGTTCTGGAAACCGACTTGTCCTGAATTGTTACGGAATTCGTGCTGCGTATTGTTATCCACAAACGTAGACCTATTCAATTGGCTAAACATCTGAGTCATTTTTTCTGTGATTGTATCTGTCATGGTTACTTGAAATGTTCTCTGGTTCTCTAACATGCTTTTTGAAATGCTCGCATTTGATTCGCAAGACTTTGCTGATCTGGGTCTTCGGTTACATCTGAGTCAATAGTTTGCCTATTGTCTTGCTGGGGATTCAAGTTGCCATTCTGAGGGACGATAATAATGTTCTGATTATCGGCGTTACGAGACCTAGATCTGGTCATCATTCGATTTTGCATACCGGAATTCGGATTAGGTACCGTCTGGGACTGAGAACATGGTTGAGAGCATGTTGGACAAGTGTTGTTATCCTGAAGCCAGTTTTGTAGACAAGCCTTATGAAAGCAATGTTTACAAGCAGTTTCCATTAAATCCAATTCGAAAACTACTCCATTGCAGAGCGTGCACGTCACTGAGTCATCATCACCTAGAGAAACTAGGTTCTCGTTGCTGTGCCTAACCGACATTTTTAAACGATTTCAAACCTAACTAACAACTAACTAAACTCAAAAACTTAAAAAGAGAAATGGAAGATATACGATATGCGATAGAAATGTACGATATGCGATAGAAGTATACGATAATCATTCAACAATGACAAGACGAGAAAGATCCTTGAGAAATACGGAATGCGGTAGTATCATAAAAATACGAGGGGCTTATCCTGAGGAGTAATGTAGCAGCAGGTTGATTTTCGTTCGATAGGTACTAATTATAACTGAAAATGTTTGCGGAATTAATTATATAAAAATAGTATTTTGAGGTCTAACCAATCAAAAGAGGGACTAGCCGAATTTTTCCAGCTAGAACAAATCTCGATTTTAATTGGATAGAAGATGTGGTTTGAAAACTGAAAACTTGGTAAAGAACCGACCTTAAATCAGAACTAAAATTCCGAAGTATCAAATAATCAAAATGGAATGTTTTTAACTATAATGTCCGAGTATGACCGAACTGATAGAAAAACATGTAACAAAAGTATAACAATTCTGCTGGTATGGCTCCGAATCTATCCAGAGTACCATCAAATCCAAGTCAAAAATGAAATACTAACTGAAACTACAATTTTACAAAAATGGATGGATTGAAATATTTTCGGGAAGCTCGGCTGTCAAACGACAGATGCCTGATCAGGCATCGGGCTTGCCCCATTGTTGGGCGCCATTTAATTCTGTAACGAACACACTCTATGAGCGTTGTCCACCCTAACACCTCTGTCTACGCTTTGACCGGCCTACTCAGGGAGATGGGTGTGGGTTTGTGTTAAGATGAAACAAGAGTGTCACAGAACTAACAATAGTAGACAGAGAGACGGTAACGATAAGGATTTTTAACCCATCGGCTAAGATTCGGACGAGAGACTGTACCTATCGAAGACGGAGGCCCAGATGTTATTGGCCACCTTCTATACCCACCCTACCTGTGAAGTCACATTAGACTCCACCCTTAAAACAACCGCTGCGCTACATCCCCTAAGGTGCCCTCAAAAGATCACAAATTAGATCATCTTAAATTTCATTTAATACGGCAAACACGATAATATGGTTCATGGTTCTTAATACTACAAATCCTAACACTAAAGCCTTACGACTAAGCGTTCTTTACGCCAAAAGACTCTCTATATGATCGAGTGTCAGTACAAGATTATCAAATAGGAAAAGAAATGGATATTTTGTTTACGTTAAATTATCACGAAACTGATTACATATTTTATCGATATGCGGCAAGCTTATTCAAAAATTACAGGACATCACTTAGGCGGATTACGTTAAATTATATAAGTGCAAACGATTCTTATTTAATATTTATATCAATACGCGAATGTGGAAAAATTACATGTATATATTGGTACCAAAAGTGTGCGGGCTCAGACAAGAATGAATATATATGTAGGAATGTAAATGATTTACGGCTATGCCGTACTTACGAACTCTCCAACGAAGTCAGCAGGCCTGATGACGATCGATGTGCGCTGTAGGATAATTTAATTTAGGTGTATATATGTCATACTATGTCGTAAGCACACACGCAAGTATAAAAGCTAAATAGGAATCGTAAATTAAATTAGAAACTTGTCGTACAAATATTTAGAATAAGAAAATTAAACTACAATCGCTTTAGCGATACAAAAACGAGTTGGCAGTCCCGGCCAAAATTATCTGGAAGCAGAATTGGAACTGAAATTCCAATTGGGATGCGGCGTCCGCCTCCGCTGTCTTGCCCGAATTACGCCGAATCGGCGCCGGTGCGTTTTTCGCCCGAACTGCAACGTGATCTGACTTGTAGATCGTCGTGCGGACTTGGCAAGGTCAAAACCTCACGGGGGTTCACTGCGGCGATTTTTGAAGCCGCTTATGGTATGCCGATGATGAAATTAATCCAGGTGTGGCAAAGAAGACAAATTCCTTTCACGCGGTGTGCGGTATAAGAATCCCAAATGGCGATTATGGCCTGGCGCTGAAGAAATGTATGGTTCCGCTGATGAATCGCTGCACGCGGCACCTGCTCCTTGCTGTGCGCAGAGGGAGGGCTGTAAAACTTCCGTCAATTCCGAGAATTTGCACGTGGGTCTGGTCACTGCTGTTTTCCGGGAATTACAATTAGATTTTTCCAATATATCGTCGAATAATCTTACCACCAATATTGGGAGTGATAACAGGTCGTACTGCTCCACCAAAATTCCTAGAATTTCACACGCGGATGTGTGGATGCGGACGGGTTTGAAAATTATAGCACTTTTTGCAGAGAACGAACCGATCTCGGGAGAAGCTTGCGACAAAGAGGAGGAAATCATGGCGTCTAGAGTGGATGTAGGATGCACAAAATCCCCAAAATCCATAAAACTAGTATTTTTGGTATTCTAGCGAGGATCGGATCCTTGCTACTGAAGGGTTGCATCTGGGCTATTTATGTTAATTACCATGGGTAATGTCTTAACTAGGAATGCCCACTTAGCCGAAAATACTGACTCCCACAATTCTTAAAAGTACATAAAATGATATTCCCAATGGTATAAGATATTATGTCAAAAAACACCGAAGCTACAATTTGTTTCATAATATTTTCTCACCAATTTTCCGATCCTTCCTATGGCAGCTATATGATACAGTCGTCCGATTTTGATAAAATTAAATTCGAAATTCAGAACTAATTAAAATATGTTATTTTCAAGCGTAGGAGGTTATATGTTAAGAAACACCAACGATATAATTTTTTTTCCGATTATTCCTATGGAAGCTATAAGATATAGTTGTCCGATCCGCCTGGTTCCGACTTATATACTACCTGCAAAAGAAGGAAGATTTTTGGGAAAGTTTCAGCCCGATAGCTTTAAAATTAAGAGACTTGTTTTCGTAGAAACGGACGCACAGGAGGACAGAGGGACAGACGGACATGGCTAGATCGACTCTTCTAGTGATGCTGATCAAGAATATATACACTTTATGGGGTCGGAAACGTCTCCTTCACTGCGTTGCAAACTTCTGACTGAAATCATAATACCCTCTGCAAGGGTATAAAAATGAGTATTATGGATTAAATGAGATTTTGTTCCATTCTTCTAAACGTTATAACCAATAATTAGTAAATTCAATACAGTGCGAGAGGTATTGAGATATATTCAAGCGGCGTCTATAGGAATGAACGCCAGTTGACGCGGTAGTGAAATCTCGTAAACAGCTGATAAAAATGAACGCTAGGTGGCGTGTTTGTGTGGGGTGCAATCTAGGCAACAGCCGATTTGCATATCTCCACCTTTCTCGTACTCCCTTTAGCTGAGTTACGGGTATCTGATAGTCGTGGCTAGCGACTAGAGCTTTTTCTCTTGTTTTTAATTGAGTTCTATTCTATTTTAAGGAGGCGTCTCGGGCAAAGAAGAAGGGATCATTTTAAACGAACCAATAACAGCCGAAGCATTAGTGGACATTTGTAAGTGCATGTCGGAGAACCCAATATTGACATCGTTAGACCTCAGAAAGACACAAGTACTTGGAAGTCTCTCCGATATCGCACCATATTGCGACCATCTTAAGGAGCTTGTATTTACGTGGAACGAGGAAGATGTCCAATATGCGCCTCTGGTAAAATTGCCGAAATTAGATACATTTACTATCGGCGGAATTCAACTAAGCAGTTCGCGATCTGAAATTTTTAAAGCTGTTGGAAAATGGGATAGACCTAAAACTATGAATCCCTTGACTGTGTTATTGATTGATCGATCAATCGTAGGTCGATCTATTTTGCTTGCGACCCATGAATCTTTAGAATATTTGCATATATACCAAGAAAATATGGCTGTATTCTTTAAATCTCAGTACATTTTAGGCGAAACTTCTGAAGAAATGGATTCATTAGAGAAACGTCTTATAACTATAGACGTGGAGGAAAATGTCAATATAAAGTATGACAAAAACAGAGGAGAACTGAGGCTATGCATGCCAAAAGAATCGGACGCAAGCAAATTAGTTTCACTATTGAAACTTCCCAACCTTAATCGCTATTTCTTAACTGTTGGAAAGTACAACAAGTGGGGAATGCTGGAAACAAATTGTAATGATACTGACCAAACATCGGTTGGAAATGTAATTAGACCGATGTTGTCCTTTTCTTGGACCTATTTCATAGTAAAATATAAACCATTGGATCGATCTGAAGCAAAGGACCTTGGGACTGTAAAATCAATCTGTTATCTGTATTGCAATTTATACGATTGTGAATCGATGGAACTTTTGAATCAGCTAACTAACTTGCAATTTGTGAGCATCGCAGTTCCATTAAAATGCAGAACTCCTGCAACTGGCATTTTCAGCCTGTTAGCAACATGCAAAGTGAATGCTGATGTCGTGTGCAAAGATTTTAACATTCGATTTCGGAAGAATGAACAAAGTCTTAAAATTCATATGGAAATGGACAGTAAGGCTGACGTTCTTGTTCCCCTTGCTCAACTAAGTCACATTAAATATCTCCAAATATCAGGAATTACTCAACCAGGATCCTTAAATGCGCTATTTGAAGGTTTTGCCAGCAGTAACTTAAATGCAATTGAAGAATTGGATATTCAATCGAGTGCAGTTCATTTTAAATATATATCCAAATTGGCAGAAATTCAAACCATCAAAAAACTAAAGCTCTCACTAATAGATCCCACTGGCATTGAGATATTGGCCTCCTTGAATAATCTGGAGGAGTTGACAATAAGCACCGATGGAGCAGGAAATCTTTGTCACGCTTTTGCAGAACTGGCTTCGAAAAATAAAATTCAGTTCTTAAAAATACTAAAAAAACCCCTTTCACCTGAAGAGGTTATAAAGGTTTCCAAAATAAGTTCACTGAAAACGCTGGAGTGCAGTTTTTTCATAACAGAAGACCCAGTATCCTTGACTGAACTGGCTAATTCTCGAATTGAAAACTTAATAGTTCACGTATTTGATCCGAACTATATTGTCCAGAAGCTGTTTTCTGAATTTTCATTAAGCACTACACTTCCGATGAAGTCCCTACAGAGTCTGCTTTCTGCTTTTTCATTAAGTAGTACAACCAGACTTCAAACTCTAAATGTAACGGGAAAAGCTCTTAGCAAAATGGAAGTGAGGGAAATTTCGAAAATAAAGGATCTGAGAAGTTTGAGTGCCGGATTCCTTCATTCAAAATGTTTGAAATTGCTAAAACGGCTACCTCGCCTAGAGCATCTCGTTGTTGATTACTTCCAACAAACAAAAAAAAATTCCCTAAAGTTCTTACCACCTACCCTTCAGAAATTAGAATTAAATTACAGCATTGGCCCCAGCGCATGTAAACATTTGGCTAAGCTGGGATCGTTGGAGTCCCTAAAATGCTCACTTCTTGATTGTCCGGGTATACAATTATTGGCAGATATAAAAATTCTCAAGGAATTGGTTATCCATAGCGCCAGTGGATTGCTTAATGGATTGTTTATGGCATTTGCCAACAAAAGTGGATCAACGTTACAAGAGCTGCAGACACCAAATTTAAAAGAAGAAGTGGAGTTCTGTGAGATATCACGTATTGAAACATTAAAATCATTAAACATTTCCTACAACTCGTGCTTCCATAAATTAGAAGTCCTAAGCCAACTAAAAGAGCTCAAATCATTGCGTATAGCTGATAATTTCTCAAGAGAATCAACACACAACAATAAGTATTTACCGATTTTCCAATCTTGTCAAAAGCTCGATTGCGTGACAATTGAAATTAGTAACAGTGTGGCCAAAGACTTGGTAAAAGAGATTTACTTTGTTTTAAAGTCAGTAAGGGATCCCATAACCCAGAGACCTTTGGAACTTCATATGTTTGAGGACACATGTTTCCCCAGTTTTTATGTAAGTATGAGAATGCCACTGCAACCCAGCCTTCAATAATTACTATCTTACAGGTGGAAGACATAGATGAGGCTTACCTTAAGGTTTTCCATACCTACAACCAGCGAACAACGGACACCGGTTTCCAACAATCGCAAGATATAAGGGCCGCACAGTTTGCTAGACTTCAAAACCTACTAGGATTTTAAAGTTGAAAAAACCCCATGCTAAAATATGTATAATAAAATAGTTTTTTTTTGTAAACTAGTGACGTTTCTAGTCAATCTAAGTTTAAAATCCATCGAAAAAAGCTGCTAGCTGTTATTATCGGCCATAGAAAAGCTTTCCGATGTACATCCTCTCGATGTAGAGCTAGATAAACATTAGGCACTAACATACTATATTATGCCGGCTACCAACAAATTGGACATTGTCTTGGAGGTCTAATTTTAAATGGGCGCGCGCCATGTGACAGAGATGTGGACGTAAAGAGAGATCTGAGTCCGCTCGAGCGTTTATTTTTTGGCAGCAGACGGAGACACAAAGGAAAATGTTCTCGCAATCAGATCGCGAGTAGATTCCGAAGTCGGTGCACTGAAAATTGTTTGGCCGTCTCCTCAGTGTAATTTCAACCGCGGGGCGTTACGCAAACACAGAGATTACTTGAAGATCTATTGAATATCTTTTCACTGCTGGGGGAGATTGCTTTAGATGGCTTCCAGTTCGCTGACATCCTGCGCCCTGTGCCAGGCCAAGGCATCTCAGCTGTGCGCCGCCTGCAGGAACGTGGTGTACTGCAGTCGGGAGCACCAGAAGGAGCACTGGAAAAAAGGTCACCGCGCGGAGTGCAAGTGCTTCGAAGTAGCCACCAACGACCTCTTGGGCAGGCATCTGAAGGCCACCAGGGACATTAAGATCGGAGAGCAGATCCTGAAGGAGGCTCCGCTGGTGCTGGGACCTAAAGTGGCCTCTGCCCCACTCTGCCTGGGCTGCCACAGGAACCTGGTGGCCCCCGAGAAACCCCAGGGAAACTACTACAAGTGCAGTTCCTGCAGTTGGCCACTGTGCGGGAGGGAGTGCGAGGACTCTTCCCACCACAAAGCTGAGTGCCAGCTCATGTCGAGCAGCAATTTCCAGTCCAAAATAAGCTATACGCCGGGAGAGGAGGAGCGAAAGGAGTCGGCCTACTGTGTGATCATGCTGCTCCGTTGCATGCAACTCAAGACCAAGGATCCCGAGGCCTTCCGCCAACTCTACTCCCTGGAAGATCACCTTAAGGAGCGCCTGGAGACTCCTCTGTATCAAGTTCTGCGTGCCAATCTGATTACCTTCATTAAAACAGTTTTGGGTTTGCGGGATTGGTCCGAAATGGACATCCTGCGAATCGCCGCCATACTGGACACAAACACCTTTGAGGTTCGACAACCCAGGGAAAGGAGGAAAATCCGTGCCCTGTTTCCGGGAGCGGCTATGATCTCGCATGATTGCGTGCCCAATATGAGGCACCGCTTCGATGACGACATGAACATTGTGTTCCTGGCCAAGCGGAAGATAGCCAAGGGTGAGATCCTGAGTATTTCCTACACCCAGCCATTGAGGAGCACCATCCAGCGCAGGGTACATTTGCGGCAGGCCAAGTGCTTCGACTGCTCCTGCGCCCGGTGTCGGGATCCCGAGGAGCTGGGCAGCTTTGCTGGGGCTCAAACGTGTCTGAAGTGCAAGGCGGGAAAGGTGACAAATATACCCCCAATTTCGTATGTTTTATAGGAAAACATTTTATAACGACCTTCTCTTTCTGCAGATCATCTCATTGAATCCCCTGCAAAACTCCGCCGTGTGGAAGTGCCAGCTGTGCAATCTGAAAAGATCAGCCAAAGAGGTGGTCACTTCGGATGCAGAGCTTCAGCAGGAGTTGGAATCGTTGGACAAGACCACCCCCGTGGCTCTTGAGGAGTTCATATATCGCCATCGGGCTGATCTCCACGAAACCAACACCCATATTCTGCAAGCTAAATACGCTCTTACCCAATTATATGGCAGTGCTCCGGGATTCGCCATGGAGGGTAATGGTATTTTTAAATATATCTTCAACAAGTATATAAAAGTCCTTATTTCAGAACTATCTGAAGAGTCGCTGAACAGGAAAGTGCAACTATGTGAGGAACTCCTTGAACTGGCAGACATTTTCGATGGCGGTTGGAGCATTTTCCGAGGAAATCTTCTCATCGATATGGAAGAAGCTTTGGTAACGCAGGCCCTACGCTCAGAAGACCCAGTGGAGTGCGAAGAGAAGCTGAGAAAAGCGGCGGAAATGCTGAGAGAAATTCGAAACATCATGAAACATGAGCCGGAAATGCAGCAGTTGCTACTAGAACGCCAAGTCATCTTGAATTCGGCCCTAGAGCGCTTTGAACAAGTTGAAAATTAGAAATATGTAAACTTTTGCTATGGTTTCTTTAAATAAGTGGTTTGTTTTCGGTTATTTTTTGGGTTAGTTGACTTGAAGTCCAGTTTTGAATCTACCGTGAACTGATTTTCCGATAGCGAGTGCACTATCCTTTCCATCAATTGCACTGTCCACTTTTAGCAAGTACACACTCCTGCCCAAGCGAATTCGACAAGTTAGCAAATACACCCTCCGCAGCAAATCGATTCCCGAGGTATCGATATTTGCTCACATCTCTATTTCACTTCACGTGTCTTGTGTTTATATTTTTTCTTTCCTAAAAAATTTCATTTACTTAGACCAAATGGAGTGTTTGACCACGGAAATACCAGCTGAAGTTGTGGATAAGCCTGTAGAGGCTAAGGATATTGCGGAAAATGCAAAGGAAACCGAAGAACCCGCACATGAGAATGGCAAAGAGGAACCGGAAAAAGCCGGCGAGGAATTCGCCTATTTGGAGCGAAATGAATTCACATCCGAAATATTCAAAATTGAAGTGAAGAACCTAGGATATTTTGGAATTGGGGTACGTAGCTCAATACTTCTCTTAGCTGACTTAAAATAAAACATACATCGCTTGCAGGAGTTCAAGAAGCTCTTAAGGAGTACCCTGAAATTTGACATGACCAAAATCAAGGCCCCGACCCGCAAAGAGTTTGCATTTGTTTGCTTTCGCAGTCAGGAGGATCAACAGAGAGCCCTGGAGACCCTAAATGGTTACAAGTGGAAGGGGAAGGTGCTGAAGGCCCAGGCTGCCAAGGCCTCCGCCGATCCTCTCCAGAAAAGACGAGCTGCCGAAGATCAGGAGTCGGAAAGGAAGCCCAAAAAGCAACGCACCGCCGTAGAGGCCACTTGTCCTCTGTCGCACATCCCCTACGAACAGCAACTTAAACAGAAATCCGAGGAAATGTCAGCCCTTCTTGCCAAATACACCCAAGAACTCAGACGCATCAATCCGCGAGCGAAGCCCCATCTGGATAAATTCAAATTCGAGGAAGTTCTTCCCTCACCCACCGTCAATGGTTACAGAAACAAAAACGAGTTCACTGTGGGAAAGAACTCCGCAGGGGAAGTAGTCGTGGGCTTCAGATTGGGCTGCTATAGCGATGGATCTGTGGAGGTGGCCGAGGTCCAGGACTTGCCACATCTACCGGAGCAGGCCAAATGGGCTGCTCGCAGTTTCCAGGAGCTTGTGAGGAAGTCCAAGTTCCTGCCCTTCAATCCAGACGGAAATGTAGGTCACTTCCGGCAGCTGATGGTGCGGTGCTCCAGTGCCACAGGCGAACTAATGCTGGTGGCGGGCATCTACTCCTCGAACTTGAGTGAGGACGAGCAGCTTCAACTGAAACAGGAACTTAAGACATTCTACGAAGAGGCCGAAAAGGATGCTCCCTACAAGTGCACATCTCTCTATTACCAAGATGTCAAGCACCGGGAAGCAGGTCAGACGATAAATCCGGTAGAGCACATTTCCGGAAGCACCCACATCACCGATACCATACAGGGTCTCCAGTTTCGAATTAGTCCCCTGGCCTTTTTCCAAATCAATACAGAAGGAGCCAATGTGTTGTACCAAAAGGCCATTGATCTAGTTGCTCCTACGAAGGACACTACCATGTTGGATATTTGCTGTGGCACTGGAACTATTACTCTGGCCTTTGCCAAGCACTGTAAAAAAGTTATGGGCGTGGAAATCGTCCCCGATGCCATTAAGGATGCTGAGTTCAATGCGGAGGCAAATGGCATTAAAAACTGCAAGTTCTTTACCGGAAATGCAGATGACTTTATCAAGAGCATGGTGCGGGAAGCTCTCTACGAACAGGAGGTCGGTAAACCCGTGGATCTCATTGCCGTGGTGGATCCTCCTAGAGCTGGATTGCGTAAGTTAAAAAAAATAACTTCCTTTTTCTGAACGTGCGTCTATATATTTCTTATCAACAGATCAGATAGCTTTTGTTTTAATTTTTTAGTATAATAACATAACAAATAACATATACAATACAATAATAAGTACACCTGATAGGTTAAATCATTTTTTTCAACTTCGCTAGTATAATTTGTTAAGGGAAAAATATAATCTATTCTCAATAGCCTTATCACTTGTACCTACCTTTCCCATTACAGACCACCGCTCGATAGCCGCGATCCGGTCAGCGGATGCCGTCAACCGTCTGGTCTACGTCTCCTGCAATCCGCACAGCGCCAAGCGGAACTTCATCGAGCTGGCCAGGCCGGAGTCTAAGCAGTACAAGGGGGAGCCGTTCTATCCGAAGTCCGCCGTGGCCGTTGACATGTTTCCCCACACCACGCACACCGAGCTGGTCATTCTGTTCGAGCGTGAGCCCAAGACAAAGGCGGATGAGAAGACACAGCCTGGGGAAGAGGCTGCCGAGACAAAGTCTGAGGCAACCGCAGAAGCTATAGGCGGGGAAAGCACCGCATCCGCAACGTGACGTGTTTGCTGGCGGGTACAGTCTGCTCTGCTGCAATCTCTTGCACATTTCTACAATCTGTGAATCTTTCAGGTCACTCGCTATTCGCTAAGTCACCGAACACCCCGATGCCTCATTACCGCCTATCTGCCGCGTTGCTGGCGTCTATCATTGTCTCTCTTTGTGGCGGCTGCTGCTACGACTTTTATTGTTTTAAATTGATTTAATTGTATTTACGCTGTGCGACGGGGAGGAAGCGACTACAGTGACAAAAGCGACTTCCTATTTAGCAGAAGACTCTAAGTTGGAAGCCCCGTTAAACTCGACATAGACCACATCCCCATCAGTTTTATTCGGGCCTCTGGAGGCCTCTGTGTGTGTGATAAGAATCGCTGATCGGTGGAGGCAGTGCGATCGTAAAGGTGTAGCAACCGCGTGACAAAACCGCTGGGAGGTGCTCCAAGTCCAACGCCCCCTCAAGGGCAAATCGGTGATCAACGACCCTGACAACGATCAGTGATCATGCCCGACCAGGTACGAGCGATCTTCAACGATTATTTCATAGTCTAAACATATGTTCTATTGTTAAAAGTAGGAAAAGTAGTTTTTAAAAGGTTCACGTTGGTATTGATCTATCAACTGGTGTATATTAAATGGTTGAAACTTAAGCGGATATTTATTAGTTTCAATGAAATGTAGGCTGTACAGGTTATACAAATTTGGGTTGACTACGAGATTAAATACCCCTTTCCCAAACTACAAATATTATCAAAACAATCCAAACATTCTATTTGTCAACATGAAAATTCCGTAGTAATAAACACCTCCGTAATGCGATTTTATCATTAACAAAGCTGTGCTGAAATTGGTCAACTTAATAGGTATAGCGGATCGCTCAATTATGGCTCAATGAAATGTGTTTACCCGAAGCTTATCTAAGGTAAACATTTGCATTTGCCTTTTTCGCTTTTCCGATTACATTGTTCTTAACGAGAAGTAGCTGGGTGATGTAAACAACAGCTGTAGCCGTAAACAAAAAGCAATATAATACATCGCGAAAATATTGTTGTTTTGTAAAAGAGAACAACAAGCAAACGTGACCGAAATCATGTTGATTATACAGAAAAACAAATCGGGACAGCCCTGAAATTTTATGCGACTTGACTTCCTGAAAGGGGGCGTGTCAAAAACATATCTATTGTGGAAAGCAAAAATAAGCTCTCGTAAACAGTAAAAGAAGTAAACAAGAAGAGCAACTGAATTGGACTTCGGAACCAATGGGGCGATTTGTCTACTCAGCGAAATGATTATAAAAACACAAATATTATTGAGGGAGCGGGGTAGTCAACATGATTATTATAAATCACAGCCAGCACGAAATGAGGCGATATTTATGCAGTGAAAAGGGGAAATTAACAAAATTTCGACTGAATTTGTTTGTTCATACGTCTACATATATTTATACTTTCTTGTAAGGCACGAAATCAGCGCCTAGCAACATCAAAAATTGAGCGATTACGATCGGAATAGGGAACTCAAGACCTTGACCGGAGAGCTTTGTTTTTGAAGCCAAAAAGCTCGAAACGTTCTTGTCTTATCAAATGTTCAAATGTGCGATGTAAACAAACAACGAGGAAAACGACAATCCCCAACCGACGCAAACCGGTTCCCCATAGAGAGATATGTGGTCGTACTACCGGAGAGAGCTTTCAGCTGATGCCATATACCCATTCAGCATCGGTGGACGAGAAGTCGTGACGAGGGCCCGGCTACGACTACGCCCCACAAAACGGGCAGAAAAGAGACTCACGTGTGTAACAACATCGCTGCCGACAGCTCACACGACCAACACGTTTCTCGGCGGAGCAAATAGCCTCGTGGCACAGTGGGTACGGTCTGTGGTCTGGGGTCTGGTGCCTGGGGTCTCCAATGTGCTCCGGTCCCAGTGAGTTGCTCTTGTTGTCATCTGCGCTCTGGCGAGCTTTTGGATTGCGTGTTTCGCCGAACAACGCGAACTACTACAGCGCGTTTTATGGGGACTATTAGCAAGATACCCTTTTAAAGGGGGTATGCGCATATGAAGACCATCCTCACGTAACTCAGGAGTGGTTTAGGTTGGAGGTGTGAATTTTGGTATTCAGATAAGTCTTATTATATGTAAACATATTAAGCTGCAGGAGCTCAATAACACTGATTTTGAGCAAGAAGCTAATGTTTCTTCTCTAGGTATACCGCTTTTAAAATTGTTCTGTATTAATTAACAACATACTTTAATAATTTGTATCAAATTTACTAAGGATCTTAAAGATTCGAGTAATCCAAGTTTTGTAATGGGAATCTTTATTGCCAAATAATTTTACTTGCTCATAAACTGTTAAACGAATTAATGATTTATACAACCTCGCCTATGATTCCCTGACTTATCAGCCATCTGCTTTACTCCCCCGTCCTGGTTCTTTCCTATCGAGGGCATTGCTAATTCGATTAATCTTCATGTTTTCTGTATTATCTGGTGTGTTTCTCCGTTTTCTGTTTTTGTTTCGCCGCTGCCCGTCGGCGTAGAGGCCAACAACATTTCGAAAAAGCCCAAGCCGCAACTGTACCGCCGGACTGAAAACCAAAACAAATCGCCAAGTCGTCGGATACGACTACGTCTCTCACACAAAGAAAACGAGCAGTGGCGAAAAGCTCTGCCACTCGGTTTCGATAAAAAGAAATCGCTTAAATTGCGCGCACAACAAAAGCGCCCGAAACAGTTGCGACTGCAACGTCAATTTGTGACGACGGACCGTCCACAGCGTCCTAGTTCCCCTCCAAAGGATACAAGCTAAACACAAGCAAATAATACCAAACCAACCAAAAACCCAAGTACAAAATGCTTGCCTAGCTACAGAAACTGAAACATTGCGCATACGCCGCATAGTGCAAACCATTAACTGTGATACAAGTTGAATTTTCTTGATTTTCGTTGGTCCTCGCACCAAAGCAACCTACAACTACCTAACTTATTGTGCTATCCCCAAACAAAGAAGCCGAAACAGAAGCAAAATGTCGGTGCCAATGCTGCTGACACCCATGGAACCCCAGACCCCGGAGGATCACATGCAAAATGTAATTACCCAAATAACGTACAGACTACCGGAAGCGTTTGTAAACGGCTTTAGAGATATTTCCGACTGTAGATATAGTGCAGGTGTTTGAGCTTTGACTTTTTGGGGTGTCTGAAGGTCGATGCTGTTGTCATCGGACATTTGCATGTCTCTTGCGCGTTTTGTATATGCAATTTTAGTGGGTATACACAAATCTATTTGAGAGAGGGGCACGAGGCAAATTGGTAGAATATATAACGATGGAAGTACGTACTAGGGTGGGGAAATAATTGCCTAGTTGGGTAATATTCAAATGGTTCCAGCAGACCTACCTCGGGGATTGGTATACCTAAAAGAGGTATACACATGCCATTTTTTGTTATTAACTCTATGGTATATAAAATGATGTATGTATTTATGTCAAGTTGAGAACGAGCTCAAGTCCCCTCTCTCAAGTATCTTAACATATTGACGTCATCTCCCCCTCCAATCGTTTCCAAGTAAAATATACCACTCGTGTTATATTTTATTTCGTGTGAGCTCTACAAACTGAATGCCACATGTTGCAAAAGGTTTCGCCTCACGTGACTCAGTCACTCGGTTGCCAAGTTTCGAGTGAGGTTAAGCTTTCGAGAGAGACCCCAGCTCAAGTGGCCCATGTCTGATTAGATGTAGATTTTAGCTTATTAATTTTTCAAGAGCCTGCAATAAAATACGAGGCTGATATATGGTTTCTGATATTGAGCTGACTGATAACAAGTTCACCTGAAATACTAGCCACGAAACACATGGACGAGCTTTTTGGCTCCACTATAAATAAAACGCACGCGAATAAGTGAGTTCAAGTAAAAACGCCCCAAGCATGCGAAAGCTTTTTGAGTCTGAAATTTCCCAAAACAAAAAACATATGGTATAATTATGCGGAGAGGTATTGGGAGCGAGAAAAAGAGCGCCTGCGTTGAGAACACGTGAAAAGGTGTTTAGAAATCGAGGCAAAATTAGCATACGGTTGAGAAATCAAAAGTAGAAAACGAATTCCACAATATCAAAATCAGATTGAAAACATTTCGATGTTTCAATGCGTTACTGCGGGCTTTTCTCCCCTCAAAAAGTCACAAGGCTATGATAATTGTGCCAAGAAAGTAAAATCGCTAGGAAATCGCGCGAAAAACGCACCGGCTGACGCAATTAGGGCAAAAATAAAAATGCGGAAAACTATATGCTAGACAGCCCACTAAAATGGATGCTAGATCGCAGAGTTCTTAAAAATTCACTAGAACACGCGACTTTTGCCGCCCCCGTTGCTGTTGAAATGTTGCCAAGGCGGAGGAAGTACCAGCCTATAGACAGATCTGAACGGTCGGTCGGTTAGGTGGGTGGTGCCTTTTCCACCTCTGATAGTAAATCTAGGCGGCTCGGTAAACAAATTCTGTGCGGGCACAGCAAGTGCTGGTTTAATCGAGTTTCTGTTGATTTATGGGTCCGCTCTACTTGCATAGACTCTGCCCATTGCGATCGTGTTTAGCGCCCAGTTGTCAGGGGCTTGTCGGCAGGTGTAGGGCAATCGGCAGCGGTTGCATCACCGATCCTACGACATGGCAGCCGCCCCAGAAACCGCAGAGGCGACAAAAAACGCCACTGCCGGCAAAACCGCCTCAATTGCACTTGCTTCCGTGGGGATTACGCGCGTTTCGCTCAAAGGTAAACCGCTCAATTTGGAACGATTTGAAGCGCGTGCTTCCATGTACGTAAGTTTTGCAAACGAAAAGGAATGCTACATTTTGCAAAACACATTTGTTGCTTCGATTTCTTGTTTTACAAGGAGGTACATTTAAAAATTCTTAGTGCTAAATACCAACTACACACAAAAACGTACATGTACTATATAATAGTTAAATGGGCTTACGTCAACGAATTGCCAGTTTGAGACATGACACACAACTTAATATCTTATGGGTGGTTTTATTATTAAATAGTTATATATTCAACCCTTACAATTATATAGTGGGTAGTTATAGTTATTTGCTTTTCTTAAAAAAGGGACTTTCCATGAGTACAACTAGTTAACTTTAATAGTTACGTACGTAAATCAAAAGTATCCATAACTCATTGAAGTCATTTAAATGTTCCAATAACAAAGTAAATTAAAAATGTAAAAGTACACGTACATGGCTATAATTGAATGAATCCACAAAAACATTTTTTTGAGCTGATAGGATTCACACAAATTATTTGCTTTATATATAGTACTTTCTGGGGGTTAATTATTTGACAATTGGTTTCGCAAATAGAATTTTGATTACAGGCAGGCTAAGCAAAAAACAAAATAAATCAAATCTCTGGACGTCAGATCAGGGAGCAAGCAAACTAAGCGGTTCGAATATATTGTTTTTTAATAGCTGATCTACTGATAATCGGCGGCCTGATCTTTAGTCGAGCCCCAGTACAACACGTGATCTTGTTTGCGCCTCTGAAAGTCACGAGCGGTTCGGGAGCGACTAAAGACGCGTGCTTATCGCGCGAACATGTTTTCGATTCTAATTTGAGAAATCTGGGATCCAGGGGGCGGGGCGGAAAGGGGGCTAGGGAGCAGAGGCACCAGACAGTCGACGCCCCGCCTAGAGAAACTTTATCAGGGAGAAACGGAATCCGCAAGGGGTCAGCGACTAATCTCGCTCGCACAGCAGGAAAGTTGCGACTACTTAATAGCGGGCTCCGCCACTCGATCGACTTTCAGTAGGCGCCCGTTCTCCATTCCAAGCCGATGGCCATGTCTCGTACTGTACTAATCCTGGCTGTTGCCCTGTCCTTGCAGTGTGCCGCCTTCGTGGACGGAGCCTCGATCTCCTATGGAACCGGAAACGAGCTGGATTCGGGATCCCGATCCTCAGCCGCCTGTAAGCCCACTCTGCGGGAGTTCAATGTGCGTCTGGAGGCTCCTCTGGCCGCCGAGGAGCGCCTGGGCCTCACCGGCGATGTGAAGGCCCTCGGCGAGTGGCAGCTGTCCAGGAGTGTAGCTCTGGAATCCCTCGACGACCTCAACTGGCAGGCCACGGTGCCTCTTCAGTCCTGCCGCCAGCTGGAGTATCGCTACTTCGTCTACGTGGAGGATCTATCTGGCTACAAGCAGATCCGTCGTTGGGAGACCCACTTCAAGCCGAGGTCCCTGGGACCCTGCTCGGAGCTCCAGTGCAGCCAGTTGGACGTTTTCGGCATCACCTCGGACAACTCCGATCTGAAACCGCAGGTGCATCGCGGCTGGCTGAACCACGAGGCGATCCTGCAGCTCAAGTTCAACGGGGAGAAGATGTTCCAGGTGCACGACATCGAGACCTTTGACCCCCAGCACGTGCAGCTGAAGATTGTGCCCGTGGAGCAGACCGCTGGCCTCCATGTGGAGTACTCCAAACAGGAGTACGGCAGGAGCCAGCTGGAACAGCAGCCAACCTTCGGGGTGCCCTACACCAAGGGGGACATTGTCATCTTCCACATCACGATGCCGTTGGAGAGGATGATGGAGCAGCACTTCCGTCTGGAGTGCTACAGCATGGCCAACGAACTCCTCGGTAGCGCCGGTCTGGGCACTGCCGAGTTGACTGGCAGCGAGGGACTGCTGCACTTGCCGATCAAATCGGCCAAGGATGCGGATGATACCCTGGCCAGGCTGAGGCTGCCCTATGTGGCGGTGCATCCTTACCGCTACTCGCCGCTGGACTTCAAGAACACCTATGCTCACTACTGGCCCAAGAGCTGGCCCAATTTGGATGTGGGTCATCGCGGAAACGGCAAGAGTTACATTGCAAATGCTCCTGCTGAGAGGGAGAACACCATCGCCTCATTCCTGAGTGCCCACGAACACCACGCAGACATGATCGAGTTGGATGTCCACTTGACTGCTGACGGAGTGCCTGTTATATACCACGATTTCGGACTCCGAACTGCTCCGCCCGGCAAGCAGATCAGCCGACCAGATCAATTGGAGTACGTGCTCATCAAGGACATCAACTACGAGCTGCTGAAGAGGCTGCGCATCTTCTCTGTGATCGCCGGCCAGGTGAGGGAGTATCCCTCGCACAATGCCGAACCCAGGAGCGAACACCGCATCTTCCCAACGCTGGTGGAGGTGCTGGAGCAGCTGCCCAAGTCCCTGGGCATCGATGTGGAGATCAAGTGGCCACAGCGTCGCCAAGGCGGCGGTTCGGAGGCTGAGCAAACCATCGACAAGAACTTCTTTGCCGACAAGGTACTCCACCAGGTCATCCAAAAGGGCTGCGGCAGACCCATAATCTTCTCCAGCTTCGATGCCGACATGTGCACGATGCTGAGGTTCAAGCAGAACATCTTCCCCGTGATGTTCCTCACGCAGGGAGAGACCAAGAAGTGGCAGCCGTTCCAGGATCTGCGCACACGTAACTTCATGGCGGCAGTAAACAATGCTCAGGCCTTCGAGCTGGCTGGCACAGCTCCGCACGCCGAGGACTTCCTGGGCGAAAACGCTCCGGATATGCTTCAAAAGGCCAAGGACCTGGGCCAAATTGCCGTGATCTGGGGCGACGATTGCAACTCCAAGGAGCGCGTGCAGTATTTCACCCGGATCGGGGCCACCGCCACGTGCTACGATCGCAGTGATCTCTTCATGCCGGAGGGCAAGCAGGAAGCCTTCTTCAAGTCGCCATCACTGATGGCCGAGTTCGCAGCCCAGTGCCGGAACTAAAGAAATAGGGTACTAAAGTGAAACGGGAGGGTATATCTAAGCAGTGGTTAATCATTAGGCTTTTTAGTTAGCTTGTATATTTATTTAAACACTAACTGGGAAAGAGAAATGTGAGAAGCTTTAAAGTGGTTGGGTAATTTGCAGTTTCTCGTTGCCCAACGGACACAACGAAACGGAGACCCATAAATAAATCTTCTCTACACACGTTAAGCCATCATTTGGCATAATTACACATGCAAAATAGGAATTCCCCAAAATTAAGTAGCACCGCAAAAGACAATGGGAAGAAAGCGAAGCAGAGTTGAGAATTATAAAAATACATACACCTACATTACCTGCTAAATATCTATATAAATCTATCTTTACCTCAATGCAAAACATGCAAAAAAAGAAATTGCTAATAATTAATTTAATCGTAACACCAAGAATACCTACTATTACAATCTAAAGGGGAATATACATGTATTCAATGTGTTGATGGAACATCGACAGATCTTTTTGTGACTTTTGCAAAAATCTATTTGATATAAATTAGAGAAATATTTTTTTAACTGTTGTACAATTAATTTAAAACGTTTATGTATTTTTAAAATGTCCGGTTTGTAGAAAACTGTTTGTTTAAATGTTTTAAATTTGAGTAAATTATTTGTTTAAGATTTAAAGTAGCGGCACTTGTCTAAAAATACAGATAAAGAAAATATATTTAAAGAAGTCGCTTACAGCTTTCCAACTCAAAGATAAAACAATACTATATTTTTATCAATATTATAAATCCGTTAAACGATCAACACAAAACAAAACCAAAAGTGATTGATAAAGTCGTTTGTAAATAAAATCACCACAAATATTTTCATAATATTTTAAACAGTAACTCAGTCGAAAGATGTGTTTTAATCTGGTGTCAGACAAATGAAAAAGAAATTCCCTGCTCCACAGCAAAAACCTGTAAGCCGCATGTAAAAATTCGATCCGCTTACATTTGATGGCCCCGTGACGAATGTAAAAGCAGCCATGAAAATGCTGGGCCCGAAACACGACCCATAAACGGAAAACGGGGAGTGGGCCATAAAAAGGTTTGGCCCTCGTGCTGGAAGTGAGGCCTGAAGTCCGTTCGGTTTATGGTCAATTAGAGAGCGCCTCATTTGCATCGGTCTCGGCATGGCCAAATGCGAATGTCCCCTCGGTGTGGGCCTGGTTTCATTGATGTTGGCCAGCTCCCTCGACGCCACTTGGACTTGGAGGTGTTTATACAAGGAATTCCCAGTGGACGTTGAAAAGGTGGGAAAGTGCGGGCGATGATCTTGAAATTCAAAAGACCAAAGGCCACCTATAATCGAGACTTGATTTGAATTTTCTAGATCAAGGGCGGCTGGTATGTTTATGCGACCAATCCAGAGAGAATAAAAGTGTGCTACTTTGAAGATCGTAAGTAAGTCATTTAAGATAATATAGGTAAGATAGCTTCCGAAGAAAGAAAATAATTGAAAGCAGTTTATTTTTTAGAGCTGCCTAGTAAAAAAAATTACATTTTGATTGTAATTATTTAAAAATATTTTTTGTTTTACTAACATATCATCAGTGGATCTCTACTGGACTAGGATCACCCAAACGGACTATGATAACTATGCTGTGGAACTCCACTGTTCCCTTCCCTGGATGCGGCACCAAATGGCCATCTACACCCGGCAGGAGAAACCCAATGAAAAGACTCTCGAAGATATCGAATCGTACTTAAAATCGGTCCACCTGACCATCAAAAACTTTACCCTAATCCGGCAGAAAAAGAACTGTCGGTCACAGAAGCCTCCGATTATGCAGCGCTGGCATTTGTCCCGATACCTTTACATGGATTATAATCCGGTTTACGTCAAGCCCTTGGTGGAGAACGAAAACATCTGAGCCAGTCATTGTATCGCATCTCTCCTCTCCAACCGGCAACTTTCTTTGGGCACAAATTTACATATGCCAAATTTGGTACAAATATGCCAATGTCCGACCAACGAATTTCTTAAAACAAAGAACGAACATTAAATAAGACCGAAACAGAGATGCTCTGTGAAATAAAAATGATTGAGTGGTACATAAGTTATGAGTAACTTTAATAGGCTAGATATTATCCAGCACGGCAGTGATCCATAAAATAATTTATTCAGTGAAAGGTTGCACTTAAATTCCTCAATTTGCCGATAATATCTCCATCATGTTTTAATTAGCCCTACTTTTATCTGCTCACGCTGTCATCGCTGACCAGTGGTCACCATCCATGCCCATCAACTCAATTAGTGAGCCGCTGACTTATTAGTCAGAGTTTCTTCCATCGCAGCTGATTCGGATTCGGATTCGTATTCGTGTTCGGAATCCGATTCAGATTCATATTCAGATTCCGATTCCCAGGCCAACTCCAATTTGGACGGAAACAAAACCACGATGAGCTCCAAGAAATTCTTTCATTCGGTTGTTTGTCATCGTCGGGTCAAGTTGCGTCCGCATCCGACCCAAGTCGGTTCCATCGTCTTAGTTTTTGGTTGCGTCTCGGATCTAAAGCCATATGTCGATTTATTTTGGCCGAAAGAGAAAACTCGTTTCGGTGGCGCGAAGATGGTGATCTTGCTGTGTGGAATGAGGAAAAATGTATCGATCTCGCGAGTGGTTGAATGTGTTAAAATCAATTAGCATACCCCCTGGGCTGCTGCTGTTGCTGTTGCAGCTTCTGCCGTGGTGCGTGGCCTTTGTGAATCAATCGTCTTCGTCTGTTTTCGGGCCCGAGAAGCTGAAGGCCTTCAAGATCTTCGACGATGAGCAGCCCAGCCAGATCTCGGGGCGCAGCTTCCTCTGTGTGCCGCTGTTTCGGGTCTTCAGACTGGAGCTGGGCCACAACATTCGGCTGGCCCCCGACGAGTATGTGGCTGTCACTGGGGATCATCCGTCCCTGGGCTTCTGGCAGCTCGAGAAGGCCCTGCCCCTCAAGGCGCAGGATAAACCGAGATCTAAGTGGTACCTCCGGGTGTGGATCTGCGCCAGTCAGAGGTTCTACTACCGGTACGTGATCTACTCGAAGAATGGCCAGGGCAAGCGGGTGCTGAGGAGCTGGGAAGGTCAGAGGGTGGCCAGAATGCTGCAGACCTACGAGATCTATCGCTCCCCTGGCCTGGACATTTATGGAGAGGCCTATCCCTCCTCTGTGGGAGGGGGCTTCTACCTGGAACGCGGTTGGTTGCAGTACGAGTACGTCATAGAGCTGAAGTTCGTCTGGCAGGACCACCTGGTTATATCTGGGATGGCGAGCTCTGCCAAGTACCGCCTGATCTTGACACCTCTGAATGTGATAGACGATACCCGTATCGAGGTCTCCCGATACGCCTACAATCAGTCGTCTTTCAGGGCCCAAAACCAACGGGGAGTGCGCTACAGTCAAGGCTCCATTGTCGTCTTCCGCATTTACCAGCCCTTGGACACCTACAATGCCCTTCGCCTGTCCATATATCAGGGTGGCAGGGACCTCCAGTTGTCTGTAGGGGAGGCTTACATATTTCCGGATCAGATCAAAGGAAGTCGTGGCATATTACAGCTCCCCGTCTTTGCGAGTCTACAAAATATCGCCATAGGAGACTTGACTCTGCCCTACTTGGTGATACAACCCATGCCAAAAGTGGAGGCCGGAAACCTGAGGGCGAGTTTCCATCACTACTGGCCGGATAATTGGCCCACTTTGGATGTCGGATATCGTGGCTTAGGAGCCAGCTACTTCCAATCCTCAACCAGCCTTACGGAAAACACCATCGAGAGTTTTCTGGCCGTGCAAAAGGCCAAGGGAGACATGGTCCAGTTGGATGTGCAGCTGACCAAGGACTACATTCCCATTGTCTGGCATGGTTTCGGATTTTATACTTCCGACAGAGATGGACCTATAAGGGATCGATTCGACTTGAGATTCGTACTGATCAGGGAACTAAACTACTCCGAGCTGAAAGCCAGTCGGGTGTTTATCTTGAAACGTTGGACTGTCCAGGAGTACACCCATCTTAATGTTAAGGATGTGAATCAACATCACAGAATTTTCCCCAAACTCTCAGAGGTTTTCGAGGCACTACCCAAAACATTGGGACTGTTGGTGGAGATTAAGTGGCCTCAAATTATGGCTTCGGGTGTGCAGGAATCCTCGCAAAGCCTGAATAAAAACACCTATGTGGATAGGATCTTACAGACCTCAGTTCACTATGGATGTGGACGTCCCCTAATCTTCGCCAGCTTTGATGCCGATATATGCACTATGATCAGACTCAAGCAGCATGTCTTCCCTGTGATCCTGATGAGTATTGGGAGGTCGCACATCTGGGATGCGTATATGGATCTGAGGGCCCAGAGTTTCCAGCAGGCCATCAACTTTGCTCAGTCCGCAGAGATTCTGGGAACCGCTCTGCATGTGGAGAACTTCCAGAACAAACATCAGTTGGTCAATTCGGCCTTGGATCTTGAACAAGTACTCTTCTTGTGGGGCAACGATCTCCAGGACATCCATCTTCTGGAACAGTTTCGAGCCTTGGATGTAACTGGTCTTATTTACGACCAGATGGATCGAGTGGGTCCGACTAGCTGGAAGCGGTCCGCCTTTTTTCGGGCTCCTCAACTTATGGAAGTATTCGGAGCTCAGTGCGTGACCAGTGGAAATTCAACAAGCATTCCGGGAATAAAGCCAGCCAAACCGACGATATGGCCCAAGCTTAGATAGTGTGAGGGTAAGAATAGGAAAATTTAGTTTATAAGTTGTAGGAAAATAATGGTAGAGCCATTTTGGAGTTAGAATAAGAAAATCACGAGGATAAAATAGCTAAAATTTGCAATATGAGGGTGTTCCTTTCAATATATCCCAATTTACTTGACATACAAGCAGGAAAGTTAAGGAAATATATGATGAACTAACTTAGTTATGTTAAAAGCCAAATGGGGGTAAAACAGTCAATAATAAAATAGCCAAATTTACCAATTATGAAATGTTAAATATAGTTAGTTTAATGAAAATAGGAACGATTTTTATTTAGTTTTCAAAACCATTATTGTGTTAGCTAGGTAAACATCTATGAAATTTGTAGTTTACATTTATAACAACATCTTACTATTAGAAAATCTTTACAAAATACTTTATTTAAATAAGAAATGTATTTTGAAATTGTATAATGAGATGAGTATTTCCCAAAATGTATGTCATTAAGGAACAGCCGTTGTATTCTGTCTATGCTGTACCCTTTTACAAGTACCTTTCAACCAGTTGCTGCTTTTCATTTCGTTTTAAGTAAAGTAGAAAATTATTCAGTCTTAGAAATAAAACCAATGAATACATAATAGTTTAGTAGATAGAAATAAAATTCTGCTGCAGCAGAACATTAACCGATCTCACAATAAAGAATTTGTAGAAAATGTAAAATTTTATTAAATGGATTTATTTATACAAGCTTTGCTGACATCGCGCACCAGGTAGTCGTACTCCTCCCCCTCGCACAAAATCTGAGCTCACACACACACGGACAATCCATCAATCAATCAATCAAGTCGGAAGTGAGCCCCCTTATTGAGTGGAGCAGTTGGCATCGGTGTAGAGGTCCATGTAGTCGTCGGAGACACAGGCGCTGCCAATGGGCATCGGCTGGCAGACCCCCTGGACCTTGCTGACCACCTCCACGTGGCAGGAGCGGTGTCCGTGGGCGGAGAGCTTGTGGAATCCGCCGGTGGGATGCTTCAGGATGAGCTGCGGTTTGTGGCCAGATCGGTGCTTGGTGGGCGGCGTGGGGTCGTCGAAGGTCAGCCAGTCGGGGGGCATCGAGTGCTGGGCCCTGGCGGCGGCCTGTTCCCCGGCCATGTCCTGCTCCACCTCCAGGGGCAGGTCCACGCCATCTACGCCGTCGTCCAGGTCGATGGGGAAGCCGACTTTGGACTTCGCCTCATTTTCAGCGGCCAGCAGCTGGGGACTGAGCACCAGGGCGTTGGCAATCAGCAGGGTGGTGGCGCAGTGGAGCAGCAGATGCAGTGGGGCCATTCTACCAACCGAGTCCGGAACTCCGAGTACTTTTCCTTGCACTGGCCGTGCATGAATGTGGCTGTCCCTGCAATCCGGGCGGGCTTTTATAGCTCCCCGGGCGGACAGTCAATGACCGAGCGGTTGAAATTGAAAAGAAGCCACTCAAGGAGGAAGCATCTATCGACCAGCATCCAGCGTCCGGCATCCGGCATCCGGATCCCAATCCTCGGGAACCTCCACCCACGCGGACACAAAGGGCGTAATTAATTATAGTCGAGTATACGCCACGTAAGCCGCAATGACAAGGACGCCCTGCGGTGCTTCCTCCCTGGGAGCCGAGAAAATTGGAAATCTATTCCCATTTCGATTGCGTTCATCCTCCTCCTCGGTCTCGAATCTATTCGGTGCGGTTTGGGTGCCGCCTTCCTTTTGTATTTCCGGCAATTATTTTCGACGATGTGACAATATTGCCGACAATCGGGATTCACAGGCTCCGCTGGGGAGGGGGACTCCCAGTTTTGGGGTGGTGAGGGGCCCTTAACGACTTCATAAGCATCTCGTTCAATTGAATTCAAATGCAGTTGCCTTGGACCCGCAGAAGAAGACACACACACACACACACACAGAAAATCAACGACAACATTTAGCGGAAGTGAAGCTGACGCCATTTTTAAAATGGCTCATACGTGTGCGACGTGTTTATGGCAGATTTTTTGGATAAATGACAGACAGCAGCTGCCTAGCAAGCCAAGTCAATAACAACAGCTAGGCCAGGGATTTTCCAGAAAAACGAATTCAGCTCAGCCCGTGATTGGCTATGTGACTTCCCGTGATTTCGCCACGTGACTACTTTAAGTCTTTAAATCAGGTCTATTGAATTTAAATCAATTTATTGGCTAATAAACTCATTGTATATTAAGCCCAGTGGGGATTACTGAACGATTAAGAGTGTCATCGAATGCCATTTTCCATTCAATTTTAATTTCCAATATCATTTCAAGTGCCTCTTCAAGTATTCCCCCTGCAATTCCAGTCACCATTCAGATCATCTCTAATGG